CCGGGGGCGACGAGGACGGCGACCCTTAAACCCCACCGCCTCTGAGTTTGTTCCCCAGCCCGCAGGTGCCAGAGGCCGAGGGGAGCCGTTGGAATGGAGGAGGAGACCACCGCCGGAGCCCCAGGAGACGGAGCCGCCACCCCCGAGGCCAACCACAAGGGCCGGGCGAATCCCGCGGACCCCGCGGCGATACCTCGTGGGGGCAACCCAGGCGAGGTGCTCCAGTCAACCCGGGACGGGGACTGGCACCTCGGCGGGCTATGTGATGCCGCCGCCACGAAGCCGTTCGGCAGGCACCAAATCCCCGACCTCGCCACCACCAAGCAACGGAGCCGACCCCGCGTCCCCCTCACCTCACCTCACATGAACACACCCGCACTCATTTCCCCCCCCCCATAGAGCTCCGAGGGGAGGTCGCCTGGCCGACCGGTTTTTATCCGAGAGACCCTTATCGGGATTAATTCTCACGGTTTCCGGCGATCAGGGAATTGGATGACCTCCCCCATGCTACGTGGCACCGCGGCGCTGCGGCCGGCCTTAATATGGTGTGGTCGCGGCGTGGGGCATTCGGCCACCGCGGTTGAGGCGCATTTCCCCCCACACACACTCCCACGGGTCGACGGGGCGAGCAGGGGAGGCACGGGACAGCATGAATAGCGGGGTCACAGGGGCTGTTGCGCATAGTCATGGAGGGTTGGGATAATTGCGCTTGAGCGCGCAGGCCCCATTGTTAGGAAGGGTAAGGGAGTAATTAGGATGTACACCGCCAACGTCGCTCACTGATTAGCATATCAACAGCGCCTGGGGACTGCCGTGCACGGGCTTGGGGTGCACGAGCCCATTGTTCAGCGCAGCATCCCCTTTGGAGGTAGGGAGGATAAATAGAGGAGCGCAGAGGGGAAATCGCTCTCTTACTCCAGCGCCAGGCGACCAGACGCAGCTCGAGCCAGCGACCCGGACGTCCGTGCGACGCACCGAGGCACGCGGTTAACACAAGGATCAGCGGACCGCCGTGGACACTTAACAGTGAGTAAGAAGGTGAATTAGAATCATAGCCGATAAATAGGGAATAGGTACAGGTTTAGTGGAATAGGCCAGCTTCGTCGACTCACTGATTCAACATCAATTCGCAGGTGGCATATAATAAATCATTAATAGCGAAGCGTGGTCTCGCGTGATCTTGTCGTGCAGTGTGAGCGTGTGGGTGCGCTGTGTGCACAGTGGTTCGCCACGTGAGTGAGCGCTGCGCGGAGCTGAGCGCGCGGGTTGCGTGTGGGAACGCGTGTGGTACTGTGTGTGCGTAAGCTCGCGGCGTGCTTAATAGGCGTACCCCAGGTGCGCGATCATAACGCAAGCGGCCAGCAGACGGCGAGCGCTGCGCAGAGCGGCGCAAGAGTGGGTGTCGTGTGTGTTCACTCCGTGTGTGATACAGGTGCGCGATCATAACTTGCGTAGTTGGTGTGGAGTTGGAGTGCACGGAGCGGCGTGTGTGTGTGTGCATACGTTCGTTACATGTCGGATACGGATGCGCATTGGTAACGTGCCGCACAGGGCTATACTGCGAGCACGGCGTTTGATTGACGATGATGTGCGCACGTATGCTCGCAGCGTGGGAGCGCGGCGCGAGGCTGTAACAGTAGGGGCGTCGCATTCGAATGCCGGCGAAACCGTAGCGAGTAATAGGGAGGTGGGGTAACGTAAACGGAATAGGGGATGCAGGCGGGAGGGACCCCGGGGGCCGACGGCCCCCACACTTTCTCTTTATTTATTTATTTATGACGCGTGCACGCCCATACCAGGTCGCACGCCTTCAGTGGGAGTGAGGGGGACATTTTCTTTTGCGTTCAAAATGCTATAAAAAATACACTAAACGCTCAGGTAAATTCTTCACTGTGTGATGTCCCCCCCACCCCAATGCGTGCAGTTACTACTATACAGTCAGTAGATGCTACCACTATAGGCTGTAAATATTATTGCAGAGCGGCCAGGGAGATCGTGGCTGGGGGGAGGGGGGGGTAAGGGGTAGCAGCCCAGCCCCAGACTGCCAAGGTGCCTCCTCAGCCGGCTGGACAATCTAGGCGAGGCTGGAGGCTCTGCACGGGACTAGGCCTCACCAAGTCACTCTGTCAGGTGAGTACTTTGTGCTATAGAGTCGATAAATACTGCTATAGAGTCAGCATGTACTACTGTAGTGATAGCAGGTACCACCACAGTCGGTATGCACTGCTGTAATTATAGCAGGTACCACCACAGTATGCACTGCTGCAGTGTAAGCAGGTACCACCACAGTATGCACTGCTGTAATCATAGCAGGTACCACCACAGTCGGTATGCACTGCTGTAATTATAGCAGGTACCACCACAGTATGCACTGCTGCAGTGTAAGCAGGTACCACCACAGTATGCACTGCTGTAATCATAGCAGGCACCACCACAGTATGCACTGCTGTAATCATAGCAGGTACAACCACACTCAGTACGCACTGCTGTCAGATTTTTAAGCGTAGTTTTGAAATATTTTTTGTCCCCGGTACTTCCCGCTGGTTAGCCATACAGAGAAGAAGAATTTGCCATTTGCAATGGCTTCGGAATGAATCTCGGTAGGCAAAGTCACACGAAGGGCTTTGTCCCTGACACATAAAGCAGCAATGACAATATCAATCATAGTTACAGCTGAAACTTTGTCTGAAGTCATAAATGCTTTTGATGGCAGATACATTAAGGGCCCTTCGTGCAACTTGCTGCCACTCCGATACGATGAATGAAATCTGCTCTCCAGAGTCACCAAAAGACTATTTTTGCTTCCAAAATGAGGTCATTGCTCAACGCTTCGAACATCTGGCTGTCGATGGCTGGGTTTGGTGCTCGTTGAAGATTATTAGCAGTGATAAGACGGTGGCATCGGAAGAAAAAAACACCACCACAATCACTATCATCGTTACAACTGTCACCATCGTCTTCATCAATATCAACATATAAATTATGAAAACTATCATCACAACAATTGTGAACATCATTCGTCATTGTGTATTCACAACTGTATGAAGGTCTCACCATACAGTCGTGCAATGGCACAATACCTCTCATTCCTGCGAACATTAACTCATCTCACCAATACTTAGGGCAGCGCGTGGAGGTCGCGTGCCTACTGTGCAACAGTTGAGGGAATTGACGAAAGATAGAAAGCATTTGGCGAGGTGTGGTGGCTTCAAAGGCTTTGGCATTGATGACATTTTGATTGGCGTGCCATGGTGGCAAGATGTTAATTCCCTCGCCGAGGTCGAGGGTTCGATCCCGACGCTATGCCTGTATATTTGGAGTTTGCACGCTCTCACCATGGTCGTGTGTATTTTCTCTGGGTCCTCTGGTTTTTCTTTCCACATTTAGAAAATAAATTTAAAGTATTCGGCTGCTATACAATTCCACGTGATAAGCCACTTCGTTGAGCTATCATTTGTGGCGAGTGGGCCTTACCAGGCAAAAGAAAAAATGTTGGTTTCTGGGTAAACCTTCTTACTCGCAAATAAATATAAATCAATAACGGCAATTCACTCGTTGATAATAGGGATAGGAAGGATGTGGATTCGACTGTAGTTCAGTAAATATATCAATCTTTATGCATGGTGATCATCCTCTTGGGGAATGATATTAATTGCTCGTCTCATCCATGTGCAGCACAAGCGACTGAATGAATGCACAGCCGGAGACCAAGGCTGTACACGATGGAATACTGTGTGTGCTGTCTAGCAGCAGCACTCTAATAAAATTATAATAATTATCGTCATCAATTCAGCAGCATCAATATAGCGCTGCGAATAGCTTAATGAATATAATAAATGTACACTTTATATTAAGAACTACAAACTTCTCTGTGGTCCATTGGTTCCTTTAAATTAATCCATCACCTAGCCATTTTATTTTGAGTGTTTAAAGGGCAAGTTAATTACACATTTAAAATGTACATTTTTGATTTATAAAAGCTGCCCTGAATGTCAGAACATTTTATCTAGCACTGAGAAAACAAAATAGTGGCAATCCTACACAAAGACCTCGCGATTAGACTTTTGTATAAACAGCGGGGAGCAAAACAGTGTTGCCGCAATTTGACGGGATTTCTTTTGATTCCCTAATCCTCATCAGTAAAAAAATATCTTTTTACAATGGTGCTATTTTTGTTGCTGCTGTAAAACTAATGTAAAATATTTTCATTGAACAAAATGAATGATATCAAGGACATAATTTAAAAAAACACGAACAAATCTGCAACATATACTATCACCACGGTGATATTTGTGACTAAGGTGGTGTTCAGAATGCAATTATTCTAATATTATCGCAGTATTACCTTTTTATTTGTTTGTGAGCAGGTGATATCGATTTGGAAGTATATTTAAATATGTATCTCTCATATATACTTTTCACGAATTTGTAATTGTATTAACTGCATGATTTCACTTAACACTTTACTTTAAAACGTAGAGTTATCGGTGTTTTTTGATAATCCTTTGCATGAGTAAGTGAACGATGGTCATAGAAGCGGTATTATCTGTTAATGGGTGATAGCTAAACTGTGAGAGGGTCAATCGTAATGTGGTTATTTGAGTAGTTTGTACATGAATGATTAAATTTGGATTAACCTTTGATTAGTGAAGCTTGTCCAAAAAAATAGTTTGTCGAATCTCAAGATACTTCGTTGAATTTCAGGTCAGCTCGTAGGTGTGAGCAAACGATGTTCCTTTCATCTATATCCTCTTTGTTTCTTGTCTTGATCCAAAAAAGGTGACCCCACGAAAACTTCTGTGGCCCAAATTCTATATGGCACATACTAGGCTGCTTCATGGTGAAGGCCCAATTCTGATTGGACAGGGATAGCCAGATAATGATATAAAAAGGGGCCTTTTGGAGTGTTGAGCACCAGACTGGTTTGGTCCTGCCCAAGAAGCAGAAATACAGGTGCTCAGAGGTGATCTACGGCTGCAATCAATTTTCAAGAAGGCGCAATGGCTCGAGTCCTGTTAATCGCTGCTGTCGTGCTTGCAAGCGGTAAGATACATATTTCCATCTACGTATCATGCTCTCTATCTTTCGTGAACATCAAAATCTCTCATGGAGTTTCCCATCCAACTTCTCCAATTTTCCCATCAATTGATCCATCCACCTCCTCTGTCTTTCCAATTTTCCCCTGCAGAAGCACCTTTGTCATATGTTCCAGCTGACCCTCTTAGGCTATCTCCCAAATAATCTTCTGCCCTTTTTGTAAGACTAAACTAAACAATTCCGAAGTGAACTGGCCACAAATGATAGCTCAACGAAGTGGCGTATCATGTGGACATTCGTAGCAGCCAAATACTCTAAACGAATATTTCTATATGTGGAGCAAAAAACTGGAGGAGCCGGAGAAAAACCCACAATACCTTAGGGAGAGAGACACTCCAAATATACTGGTGTCGAGGTAAAACCCACGACCTCCTTCATACCAGGTGAGGGAATTAACATCTTGCTACCAAGGCACCCCAGTTTCAAAAACCAGTTTGTTCCATCCAATTATTATCTTAATCTCTTGTTCACATTTGCTATCTTCAATGATTGAGCTTCCAAGGTATGCGCAGCTGTTCCAAGTTCCTCATGCAAGTATACTTTGATAGTAGGGGCTTTTTCTTCAACTCTTGCTTTTGCCTTCATTATTATAAATGTTGATATTCAGACCACGCTTTCTGATTAAATTATACATTCTATCCATCACTTCTTGGCGAGAAGCTGATATAATTCACAGCATGTAAATCAGGGCATAATACGTCAGTTATACCATCACCAATCACTACTACCAGCACCCTGAATAAAATATACAAACTAAATATACCGCATTCACACGTCAATTTGTGGTCAAGTTGCTTACTACTTGCAGTACATTATCTTGAAATTGAGTATAACATGCATTTGAAAAGTAACGGCTCCAGTGATTGTACACAACCATGTGTTTGTATTGTGTTTTGCAGTGATGCTTGCCAGAGGACAGGAAATTGAGCATAAGAGAGAAAAACGAGCCATCTGGAACTTTGCTTGGATGATCTGGAAAGTCGTGAGAATAAATCCGGCAGAGTACAGCGGCTACGGCTGTAACTGTTTATTGACCGGTCATGGAAAACCAGTCGATGATGTGGACAGGTGATGTGCATTGTGCATTTTCCCATGAGCATAACAGTTCCGTTATACTTCCTTTCCGGCCTTTTTTAAATCCTTTACATTAAGTTCGCTTGCTTGCTTGCGTGCTTGCTTGCTTACGACCGTGCAAATATTTCGGTCGTTTTTAAACCCACTTCCCGTGATCCAATCGAGCTGATATTTTGCACACAGACTCGTTGTGCGAGACAATAAATGTTCGTGAAAATTTTTTTCCAAAATTTTACACTGTTTAAGGAAAACAAATTAAATATTTAATTACCAATTGCTTAATACTGGCAGACAATCATCTGACCCATAGGTAGCAGCCATCTCAAGCCAGAGGACAAGAGGACTCTAGCCGCCACGCATATAAAGGATTTATAGTGAAAAACTTCCTTCAGATATTTAGGAAGCTACTGGCGCTGTGCACTTTGAAATCTAGATTGAAAACGAATTTCTTTCGAAATGCTTTGTGTGTTAGTTTGTTGTCCTTCCCCCACACCTCTGATTAGCATCGTTCGGTTATGTACGGTACGCAAGACGTCCAACACAAATACATACTTAACAGCCATCCAGCTAATGCAGTCAATATCCATTTGCAATTCTGGCTGTGTGTCTACACACAGGTGCTGTCAAGCTCACACAAAATGCTACGAACAAGTCTACAAAATGAATTGCTCACCGGATTGGGACCCGTATTATTTCTCCCTCAGAGGAAAAGCCATACGCTGCAGTGAGTGACGCGGACGCATTTGTCTTTACACGCATGCAACACGCATGCTAACTGCTGCATTACAACGTCGATAGCAGTGGCCATTGCTATGGTATCCTTTGGCACGTACGCATACCTGTCAACCCCTTATCAGTGCCCTACCTTATTACAGACCAATTCAGACTATTGGTCACCCCGTGTCGTTATAAATCTGAACGTTCATCCTACAAAGTCCCATCACAAGGGAGAAACACAAACAGACAAAAATATGATTTATTCAAACTAAATTTCCTTGTACAAGAATGCAGGTAACCCGTATGGGTAGACAGGTGTGTGCGTATGTGTTTGTTCTCTTTGGCGTCTTTCAATATGGCTATGGCGAAGGGTTACTGACATTAATGGTGCCCATTAACTTCTCTTGTTCTCTTGACACGTCAGCCCGTGGCGGACCGCCGTGCGACGTCCACACGTGCCGCTGCGACAAGGCTGCCGTGGAGTGCTTCGCTCGCAGCCACTTCAACCGACGCTACCGGAACTTCAACCGAAAGAGATATTGCAAAAAGGAAGACGACTAGACACAATGGTCACATTTAATCCAACCGCATTCACATATGAACAGTGATGTTCCCATGCAATATACGAGTTTACCCGAGACCAACATGATAATGTAAAAAATATAAATCTACAACAAATAATTTGGACAATTAATTTGACTTCTGAATCAAGATTGAAATCTGGACAAAATTTTCAAACGATAATTATTTACATGCTGTGTTGATAAAAGATACATCCTGGCTGTTTTCCTCGTTTGTGTGTTCAGTAACTAGTGGGTAATAACAAACAAAAAATGGGCTGTTTAAAACTATCTTGATCATATGTGACTGCAAAGGTGTAATTCTTTTGGTGATGTACTCTAGTAATCCAGTTGTCAAACAAAATGTGTGATGATACCGCATTTGACAGTGGTGCAAAAAAGCACAATTAGCAAAAAAGCACAATTAGCAAAAAACGCCTTCGTCAATAACACTGACTTTTAAAAGTTTAGGCAATGTCTTTGGGCAATGGCCGTTCTTCAGAGAACACGTGCCATTTCTCAAACCATTGCCTATCACAGTACATTACTGTATACACTTTATTAAGGCAGTTTTATTGTCAACCGTGTTCAGTTACCTTCTGGTGACGGTAAAACATACTTGCTGATTTCTTTTTCGTCCATGTCTCAATTTCAAATTTACAGCATTGTACATTTGGAAACGATGTTATTGACGGTGTGGTCTTAATGGTTGTGCTGTGAATGTCAAATACAATAAAGAGCTCGCAGAAAATGCTCGTGCGTATAACTTGGGTGAAAGTGAGCTGTGCAATGCATTTGAAGACCCTACAAATGATAACTGTGCGCAGAAGAGTCACACTTAAACAATCACACGGTAAAAACCTGCTCGATTGGAATCATCAACATCAGCCACAATCAATTCACTGCTGGGTGAAGGCCTCCACATGACAAATCCATCTCTCATGATTGTGCGATGTCATAAGTACCTGCACATTACCTGATTTCATAGTTTTGTTTCCCAAGTGGATTTCCAGCTCAGACACTTTGTGCTCATTGGGCTGTCATTCCATTGTTATTATTTATTTTAGTTAAACTTTTATTCACGACATGTTGTGCATAGCGATGGTGAAATCGAGGTGTTCTGTTCGTACTCAGTGATTCAGAGCACCTCCTACTCCTTCACCTGCCCAGGTGAATATTAGGAAGCCACTGGGAGATATGCACTCTTAAATCCGGATTTTTAAATTATTTCTTTAGAATTATATTTGTTTTTTGTTCTTCCCCCGCACCTCCGATTAGTATGGTTGGCTATGTACGATGTGAAAGAAGTTCAACATACATACACATACGTTGAAAAATCTCATTCCATCATCGCTTATAATTTTACTGCACACTACCATGGCCAACATATTCGTTTGAGAGATTGTATACCCAACAGAGTATTCCAATTATGATATAGTGATTATTGAGGTCAGGAGTGGTAAAAATTATTTCAGCCAGTTTGGTTTATGCTAATTACAACTGATAACAACCTCTTTATAAGTTCAAGTTCATTTATTAGGTATAGCCCTGTGAGCCATTCGGCTCTTGAATCGGGTGCAACCGCAACAAACAAAAACATGAACAAAAAACATCTTAAAGTGAATATGTGACTAAGTGCAAACAGAAAATCCAAGAAAAGACAGCAAAATATTGCAGAAAAAAATCACCGTACACCAACGCTGTGTGCAAAAAATCCCAGTGGGATGCAAGTCAAACAACCAACAACAACAACCACAAGACAACTTAGATTAAGGCCATCAGTCTAACTCTGTACTACAACAAACAAACATGGCTAAACTAATTCACTTTTCGAAATCACCAAAATAAAGCAATGAAACAGTGATCATAGGAACTGTGACGGAATTTTCACAATAAATGGCATAAACAACATGTATTACCAAACTCTGCAGCTATAGCTGGCTGCATGAGTCACTCCACAACAGCAGGAGCATCAATCGGAGTATTATCATTTTTCAATGCACCTTTAAGATCAGCACACTAAATCAAAACACAGGTCATACTTTGTAGCGATCATCCGGAGCGAAACATTTTATTTTAGGCCACTGAATAGCACTGGCAGCTAGGGGTGTACAACTCCTCTCGAGCAGTTTTGAGTGAGACAGTTCGTTACTAGTTATGCTCATATAGGATTTTGAAAAGTCGATAAAAGGTTACATAACGTAAGCAATTAAAACTGGTATTCTGCTTTTCCATCACATCTTGATTGATTTGCTTAGAATTTCCGTGACCGATAATACACCCATTCCATTAAGTCACTCTGCATAGTATCCATGGGTATTACTAAGAGGCTGTAAGAGGTGATGGCTCACACTGGCGTTCCACTGGCACATCTGAGCTGCACCAGCACAAGGTTCCACACTAGAGGTGGCTTTCCACTGACTATTCCATCCAGAAGCAAACCGTCAAACTCTGACCTCACAATACTTCTCAATGCGGCTCGGGGTCTCGGGGGGGGGGGGGTGTTAGCAAGGCAAGGTTAATACATTTGCGATTATTTTTATTTTTAAAATAATCCATTGCATGTGATGTCAGTGGCACGGCTGTGCTTCTGCAGTGGGGAAAAAAACAAGCTGATGCCTCTTGAGTCACACCGGGCTGGCCCGATATTGCTCAAGATGGCTGTTGTGCAGTGGAGAAGAGCTATTAGTGGTCCAACAAAGGCATTAGCTCTCTGAGCACTATTACATTGATACATGTGTAGTGACTGACTCGGAGACACAACAGTAGGAGGCACTATATTTATTACAGCCCTCACAGGTATATTAGGGTCAGGACAGCTAACAGGCTGCCTGAGCAACAATGCCGATGAGGTGAAGACGGTGACGAGGACTCCGGCAGCACGACGGTTCCACTCCCAACCAACAGTCGCCAACCTTCGCTCGGGGTCCCCCTTTTATCCACCTCGCATGGCCCCCCTCTGGTGTCGCCACGCCCCCTTCTAGAACTCACTAGAAGGTTCCCGGGCTTTACCACACGTCTCCTCTATCACCCTTGCCTCGCGTTCCCTCTACCCCTTGCCTTACATTACTTTTTTCCCGTCTCATGACCTCCTGCTGGCAGACAGGGCTACTACACCTGCAGAGCCCCCTCTGTGCCAGCAACCTGCGCTATGTGCCATAGTGACACATTCCCTGTCACTTCACATGTTAGAAATGTAGATTATGACAAACTTGAAAGTTTGTCAAAATGTACATTAGATTACGTTATCACATTTTCCTGAAATAAAAAAATGTGTCAACATAAAGGATTAGCAACTACGGTGTTCATGGCAATTCCATAAAGCGAGAAAATATACACTGGGCCTTATTCTGTTTTTGATAAAAACATGGCAATCACTGTGCTTAAGGTTGGTGTATGAAATGTAATTTAATCATCCACGCAGCTCTCAAATGTGGAGAGAAATGTTAGACAATGTTTTGGACAACATGCAGTACAAGGTGGAAACACATTCGAGAACTATGCAGCACATTACTAAGTAATCCAATGCAGTATTATTTTACCAGCCTTGTTATTGAGTTGAATATATACTTATGTCTTGGCCTCGTTGTGTGCTGCATTGCACCACTATCTGAGTAGTTAACCTCGCATTCAATAAACTTTCAGAGCCAGGGTGAACATCCAACTCCGACGTATTTAATGAAAAGAATGAGGTAAAACTGATGGAAAAAAACAACACAAAACACAGCATCTGTTAATACTTGCAATATCGATACAATAAAGTAAGAGAAGGAGCATCACAAGATTGTCTTAGATAACATGGACCAGGCACCTACATTAGCAATGAATAGCTATACTGTGCACTCACCATACTGTAGCCTAAATGTACAGTGCTGCACATAACACTGAACTGTGGATGAGATACTTCTTAATCCTTGATCTCAAGATCGCATTACAGTTACATGGAGACACGTCTGGCTCGACTTATCCAAAAACAAGTAACATTCACAATAATGCAAGTGTCAGGCTTTGTTGTTAACTAGGCCTCATATTTATAATAACAAATTAACAGCATTATAAAGGCATTTACAGCATTATAACGGCAATCCGAACATTATAACATCATTCCCAGTATTATAAAAACCTAAACGAACTTACAGAAAATGCTTCTTAAAGTCCCACAATGAATAGATGCACCTATCTTCACCTAGCCGCTATTTGTGCCTCCATTTTGTACTCTGTGTAATGGCTGACACCCTGTCACATGGCTTAAATAATCTAAAATCGTAACTTTCTGGTCACATGACCAAACTCAACACCATATCAGGGATTCCTGTGTATGCATACCCCTATACCTCCCATGAGGCAGAACAACATATAGTGCGTGAATAAATTAATTAAAAATATTGATTCTGAACTTAGAAGAGTAGTTTGTACTTGTGGATGATCATCACTTTAACGAGAGCTTGCTTTTCCATCATCACCTCACCAGTGCCTCATAACATCGGTGGTCATCTCTGGGTTGTTTTGACATAGACTAAAGAACTAAATCAAACCAAGAACTAGTGTCAAAGAACTTCCACGTTGAACAGTGGCCGCCCTTACCCATTGACATGGCACTGCCAATAACAACCACAAATTGTGCTTGTGCAGCGAAAACGATGCAAACGTTACAAACATTTTCACAAATTCCTGCTTTGTTGAAAGGTGTTTTCAGAATAGTCTGTCACGCATCGCCACAGTAAGGCCTCTTCATCCATTTGGCTGGATCTGGACAAGTCGATCGAGTGAAGGTGTTGCAGTCCGTGTTTTGAGGATGGGCAGGGTGGGGTGGCAGGTGGGCGTATGCTGAGGGAGGTGCTACGATTGGGGATGGGAGGTGAATAAACAAGAAGGTTTTTCAGAGCGTCGGGTAATCCAAACTTGGTCAGTCCAGCCTCTTGTTGTTGGTACCCCCCCCCCGCACCCATCTTGTCAGAGGTTATCTGCAGGTGGCATCGGTTCTCAAGTGGAGGCAATGATGGCCCGCGTGTTGTTGGCTGCAGATGTTGCGTTGATTGAAGGTGGTATATCTGTAATGCGAGCGTAAATGAGGGTGCTGCTGGGCTCTGGCCAATCATACGGCCTGGGGTATTGGGGGCGGAGCCCGGTATGGGGGGCGTGTGGGAGGGGCCGCTGTTCACCTCGGCTCCAATGGGAAGCGAGGTGAATGGAGGTGGAGCCAGTCGGGCAGTATGGGAAGGCCGGATCTGACGATTCGGCAGTGGAGGAGTCAGGGTCACGTGGGAGAGAGGATAAAGAGGGGAGCCCGGAAGAGATCGGGGTCAGTTGATGGAGTGAAGAAGCGGGACCACGTTGGGTGGCCGCCGCGCCATCAGCCATGTGGCTGATGGCGCTTCGGCACACCGTCGGCCAGCGGTGTGCGGAGTGGGG